ATCGTATTATCATTTAACTCCTAATTCAATTATTTTTACCTTTTTCTTCACTGCAGAATCACCAAACCTTACCAAAAAATTTTACTCTTGTTTCTAGTCCAAGACAAAAATAATGAGACAAAATTTACTCATAAGTAACTTTGCAGCAAGATATAAGAGCTTTTAATGAAATAATTCCTTAATGTTGCTGAAAATACAAGTTCCGTTGGCAGATAATTTCACTTTTTATAACAAGACAATTTCCCCATGTTATAAGTGAAATAATGCCAATGGAGTTAGAATTTGGTTGCTAGGTAACGAGCTGGCTGGGCTCGGGTTGCTAGGTAACGAGCTGGCTGGGCTCGGGTTGCTAGGTAACGACTTGAAATAAGTGAAATAATCTGTCAATGCAATTAGAACTAGAACTAATTTTGCTTTTCAACAATATTAAGGATTTATTTACTTAAATCAATCTCCTATTTCTTGATGTTGTCAATTTTAGGTTAGTTTTGTCTTAATTCAAGTGTACTAATATATTTTCACTAAACCAGAAATCCTGGTAAGATTTTGTGTTTTTGCAGTGTTGACATTTCAAAAGTTGACTCAAAATTCTCTTGACAACTGAATGGAAACAAAGCTACTGTTTGTTACTGTGAAAATGAGGAAATGAAAATATTTAGATACCAAAGTCATCAATTTAGCTCTTAGTTTTAGTTTTGGATTTAAGTTCAATTTGATAAATATTTAAAATGTCATGAAATTTATATTGAAAAGTTGGCATTTAGTTATGAAATCTTTTGATTAGGATACAAACACTGTAACATTCCAGATGCTGTTTGTTTGATCTTTTTCCCAGTATTGGCAGTTTGGTAAGACTATTTTACTATTTTTTTATATTTGTGCAATTCTGGAGAATATTAGTCTAATGAGAGCTGATACAGGCCTGTCGCAATGCAAACATCTTCTTTTAAACCTAAACCTGGCAGGGTGTATTTCTATCGCAGTCAAAAACTTGATGACAAAGTTTTCAGTCTGGTGTTTTGGTCTCTAGCAGTCCTTTGTTTGAAGGACAATTTAGTTTACATTACAAAATATTTTATTTATTGTTTCTGTTGTTTTGTTTATTTATTTTGAATATTTAAAATGTCTTCCAGTTCCAGTGTTAAATGTTCATCAGAATTTAAAGTTTATTGATCTTTGAGAATGTGTTATTGCCTTATTATTATGTCATTACCTGTATATTACTTGAAAATGGTCACAAAAAACAATAACTTCTGGGACAATCTATCATCCAGTAAAATGACAGGCCTTTCTGAGAATGCACTAAATTGAAGTTATTTAGAGAAACCAAAGACAGATTTTCAGCAGAGCTGTAGAAAATACCACTTTTCAAATCCACCATCAGTAAACTTTTCCTTTTAGCTGCAGGATGTAAAACTAAAGTTTCAAACATTCCTCAAGGCAAAATGGAAACTGGAGATTAAGTCATCTTATAATAATTCTTGCTAATATCAGTCATAAACTATCCACTAAATGGATAAAGGATTGTGAAACAGACTCAAACAGTGTGAACTGTCGTATGCTAAACAAGCTCCTCGTGACCAGCATGCTGCCTGTCTCTGCTGTTTAAACAGTCACTTCATCATCAAACTCAGGGAAAAATAATAAGTACACCGCAATCTGAGCATTGGTTATTCAAATGGGAAGCTCAGGTGACACAGAGAAAAGCAAACAGCATGCTGCCAAATGTGGCACATGTAAAACTAATTATAGCACACCTTTTGTTTGCTCACACCTGCAGATTAGCGCGCGGCTCATGCATCAATGTCTGTTTCTGTACGTCTGTCAGAGACACAACATGTTTGAAAGGGAATAATCAAAAAAGATGAAATCATTTCATAACTTCATTAACATGTAATATAAAATAATTTAATTTTGTTGTTCTTTCTAATAATTTAAATCAGGAATAACAGATTCATTTTACAACAAATATGTAATTCTTTCTTTTATCACAAATGTTTTAGTTTTGTCTGATGGGAGACAAACAGGTTTTTATTATATCATTTATAGCTACCATGAATGTAGTTTCCATTCATTCTTCTGGAATAGAAGTTGCTTTTATTATTTTTTCCTTTTGTACATAAGTAGGGAAGAAAGTTTTCTAAATAAACACAATATATGTATATTTAAGGTGATTTAAGTACACCCCTCAAATATTTTAGAATGTATAAATATGTAAATGTACTGAAGGTAAAAAATAATGAGATTGTTATGAACAAGGACCAATGTTATTTTAAAAACTTTATGCTAAAATCTGTCAGTTATTGTTGTACAGAATCAGAAATTTGTCCCTTCACAGTCAAAGTAACATTTTGAAACATTTATGAAACATTGATGAATACATTTGAATATACTTGACATATATTTAAAAATTATTTTGATTTTACACAACTAAGCAATCAACTGGAAATCACCAAACCACATGCCAGTGTGCTGCAATAAAAATAAAAGTTTTGTTTGCATTTTGCCAAAAATATAATTTGCACTGAATATTTTTAGTGGTTAAAAAGTGTAAACTTAAAATGCAGTCACTTAATAAAAAACACAATTTTGAGTTGATTTGTTCAGGTTTCACATGAATAAAACAGGATTTTGGAAGGAGAATACGTCGTCTTTGTACCTGAATATTCCATTGTTCAACCCGTCCATTAAAAAAGGCCGGTTCCCTTTGAATAAAATGTCATGCCATTGACTTCCCGGAGACTTTTTACGGCACGTTTCAAGGTGAATGGAAGCCGCAACCACTAGTCCTTTCACTGACAAATGACTGCGGCCAAGCCCTTTCCTGGCTCTGCGACTCTAAAGACGCCGGCGGCTGCAACCGCGAAGTTGATTCGATTTGTTTACTTTGGGACAAATTTACATTTGGGAACCCTCTGTGCATCCTTTCTGTAGATACATAAGAAAGAAGAGAATTGTTAAGGAGGGGAAGTTAAGATCAAAGTTCAAATGAGCTTTGGTCATTGACCTGTGAGTTTAATCAAATGAGGTTGGTGAAGCCTTTGAGTGTCTTCCCAGGTCATCCCAGAGTCACCACTCATCCACAACGCACACATACCAAACTATTACTTTGAATAATAAATGACGCATTGCAAATCCTTCTAACTGAATTTAAAAAAATAAGTTCCACTCATCTTGCTGCAAATGCACCTTTTTCACTTTAAATAAAGGTAACTTATGACAGCACATGTTTACACAAAAGGTATTTCTCAGAGTGAATGATGAGAAATATTTTGAATACACATTTCTTTAAGCTAACCAACATGATTTGATTTATTTGAATGAGGTACACTCGATGTCAATGCAAACAAATATTGAGCTGCAGGGAAAAAAACAGGATAATGATGATAATAATAATAATTATATGACTGTTGAGGTTTAACAAACAAATATTCAGTGAAAACAGCTTTATCTTTTCATAATGAAATCAAAACACAGTTTCTGATGTCAAAATGATGCAAATAAAGTTTTGCTAAACTTGTGTTTCATTTGCATGCCGAGCCTCTGCAACTCCACAATGCTATAATCAGACTTACTGATATGTAAAAACCAGCTACATAGTTTCAGACTCAGCTCTTGTTTGTTTTGAGCTCAGGTGCGTGTTATTCATGGTATTAAACTCCAGAGCTGCACGAAACCCATTTTTACTGCGACAACTGTGGATCAGTGCTGCCATCTCGTGTTCATTTAACGTAATGCCTACAGAAACTAGAACGCGCCACATTTAATCTAAGATACATTCACTAACAAAACTTCACCTTTGACGACAAGCAATATGGCAATAAAAGCACAAATTTAATCTAATTATTATTTTTTAAGACCAATAAAACTTGAAATTTAAGATTTTTAATCCAGAAATACCTACAAAAAATATGTTAGTGTTTGGAAGTATGAGCTGGTGTCTAGTTATGCTGGGAAATTAAATTTGAAGTTTGTTAGTAGAAGGAAGCGAGAAGTGAGCAACACTGCAGCCCTTTTCATATGAAACCAATATCTGACTTTTTCACAGCAGAATGAATCAGTTCTGATCTTTTCACACCCAAAAACATCCAACCTGTGTCATTCATATGGAACTAATTCAGAAGCAGTCGGATTTAATTAGTAGTGAGAACAACTATGCAAACAAACAAAAAAAGGATTTCAGTAAAAAAAAAAAAAGAAAAAAAAAAGAAGCAAAAAACAGCTAGACATGAACAACATGTCTTGTTCACAAGACATGTTGTGAACACCTTAGAATGGTTAATGGTTTAATGCTTTAGTGGTTCAATCCATATCTTCAGTTAAACCTCTTCTGAGGTTTTGACAATAGCCTCAAGGGTAATGTTTTCTGTGTTGTTTCTGCATTTTTTCCTTCCACTCAACTTCCAACTGATATGGATATGGCGTTTTGTGAACATCCAGCTGGTTAAACAATGATATTTAAAAATAATAATAATAATAATCACAACTGTAAAGTCAGTAGTTTTCCACGAGATTGAAAGGGCCATAGCATAATTCCTATCAATCAATGAAACTTCAGTTGGGTCAATTTTGGATTATTTCTTACTTTAATAAATACAGCTAATTATCAAAATTAGCAATAAAATAAACATTTGAATTGCCATATGATGCCATATGGTAGGGTTTATACCACCACTCGCTTAAAGGATGTAAAAGACAACAGATGAACTTGAATAACTATACATAGTTATTGTGTAATGAGTCTGCATAAGAGTTTCACGTGTTGAATATAAATACTGAAAAAAATCTTAGTACCTTTTTGAGAGCCAAACGAGTGTAAACAGAAAAAGTAGATCCAGATCTCAGAAAAGAGTCCTAATTCCCAATAATAAGTGGCAATAAAGTAGGCACACGCCCCATATAAACAAAACAAAGACTGACTGATATTCACCCAATCACCAGCCTCGGGAGGCGGAACTTCCGGTGACATTGACAAATCAGTGTCGGCGAGGCGAGACGAGAGCAAACTGAATATGACAGCAAAACAACACCGAGGGGGGAGTGAACTTCTAGACACCCGTCATATTTCTGAAGAAACGTTACAGTAATCCCTTCTAACAGTGTGCGGTTACACAACAACTGAAAGGTAAAATAATTCACGTCGCTTTTTTCCCTAATCTTTACGCTTTTCTAATAACTCTGCTTGGTGTTTAACTGTCCAAACTTTGTGACACGGAACACATCACAGGGTAGCAGTCCGAAACGACAGCTAGCAGGCTAAGCTAGCTAGCTGTTAGCTAAGTTCTCGCTCGAGCCAAACAAACACCTTTAAAATCGCCTCAATTATTTGCTCTGCGAGCCCTCATCTTTCTGAGCGTCGTATTTAACTTGCATTAAGTCTCTAAAGGTGCTGGCATGACGCTGACAAAAGCCCGACTTTCATCTTTAGTTTGATTTTTGTCTTGCACATGATGGCCACCAGCTTTTAGGGGAAGCCATGATGATCCAATCAGAGTCGCTTCTTCTTCATGGTAATAGTTCACCAGCTAACGGTCACGTAACAGTACAGGAATGTCTCAGAGATCCCGTTGTGTGTTTAACTTTAAGCTTTATATTTAGGTATTGCGCTAGGCAATACCAGTGTGCATTTCAGTCCGATAACCAATAAAACATTGAACTATGCGTCTGTTATGTATGTTGCTGTTAACCTGGACGTACTCCTTCACCGGGGATGTCATTTTTACACTGTACCGAAAAATCTGTTTTCAGTATTGACAGCTTATTTAAAACAATAACATTTTATCAGGAAAAGATAGCAATAAACATTATACATGACTTCATATCGGCTTTTAATTAAATGTTTCCTATGTTGTATTTTTCTAGGTAGCTTTATAGCATGGGCGGTTCTAGACGGGGTAAGAAGGGGCCAATGCCCCATAGAACTGTACTGAAAAGATAAGACTAAATCTGTTATGACTAATAATCCTCTTGGATCAAATTAAAATTTTCACCTTCACAGTTTTAGTTTAACCATGAATCACAGATTAAGGTTTTGTACTTTTAGCTGTACTGAAATAGGATGACAGTTTTCATCTGCCAGATCAGGAATCTGCAATTTGCAGTTCTGAAACTGAAACACTGCCTGTTTTTTTTTCCTGTTGTAATTTTTGTTTCATTATTTTTCTTCTGTGCTCCCACAAAAGACAAAGCAAGACAAAAACAAAACAAACAAAAAACCCCAAAACAAATTAATTTCATTTCATTTCAGCTACACAAAAACACATAACTGGCTCCACACTATGATTCGTTTTAAACTGAACACAAATAAAGTCAAAATGAAAACCTTTTCTGATTTCACACAATTTTAGAAGGAGAAATTAGAGCAGTCAGGTTTCTACGATCAAATAACTTGAATTACTGATCACCGGTTGTCATAATAACCAGAGTTTTGCCAGTTTCAGAGTTTCCCCCACAAAAGTTACAAAGTCCGGTAAGGACGACTGCCCACCATGTTTCTGAGTTAAAAGGTGTTTCCAGTTGACGGCAAATTTTGAAAATATCACTAGTTAATTATGTGTAATTGGAAGACATTATATGATCAATCTTTAACGTTTTAAAAAATGACAAACATAAAAAATGCAAACAAAATAAATATAATTTTTTGCACTTCTGTTGTACAGGACATTTTTTGTCCTGTAGCTGCGACTTGTCACTTTATTCACTGAAGTTGTTGGCATGTAAACCAGTAAAGACAGGAAGTGGTTACAGAGTTCAAATGAAAAAAAAGACTCCTTACCTGATGTGATCATATACTCACCGTACTATGTTGCCATGTTGTTTCCAACCATTTCACTATTACTGGTGTATAAAAAACTTATAATAAATTAAAAAAACAATGCTTAGCCTGGCAGGAGCACAAGAAAAGCCTGACAGCCCGCCAGGCTTATGATACCTTGGGATGACCTTGAATTTGCTGCTCTGTAGCACAAGTGGGTGATCACCAACTAAGATAGAAGAACATCAGTTATGTTGTTGTTGTTATTGTTGTCCATTATGGAAGAGGATTAAGGTGATTTTCAAACTGTTTTAAAGTATTTGGAAGCTTAGCAAAACTGCCATTAGAAGACTAATTCCCAGTTCCATCACAATATTTGAATATCTAAAGATATGTTTTTAAACATATCTGATATTATAAAAGGTTAAAATGAAATGGTACATGTAAAATGTTTTCCTTTTCTTTGTTTCCCGTCGTTGTTCACCTGATCTAAAATCCAGTGCTTGTTGTTTATCCCCCCTCAGCTGACTGGTGTCCTCTCAGTCCAGTAGATGTCCACGCCGTCAGACACGTCAGGTGGCATGTCCCATCCTGGCCCGTCACCAGGGGCAGGCCTGTCCCCAGGGCCCATCTTGGGCCCCAGCCCCGGACCCGACCCCTCACCAGGTTCTGTTCACAGCATGATGGGCCCCAGTCCTGGACCAGGAACACCCAACGCACCGCATGGCATGCAGGCCCAGGGACAAAGCGATTACTCTCAGGACAACATGTATCCTATGCATAAGGTCGGCTGTCCCTGCTACTGCCTCACAGAGAGTTTAACACTTCTTTGTTGTTGCACTGACAAAACTTCTGAAGCAAATTCAAGTTATCTGGATGCAATTTATTTTTCTAAGTTTAATAAAGTAAAATTTTCTGCTAAATTAGATTTTTATCAAGTGATCGTTGCCACTTCTATTCAATAATGCTTTATTTATCCCAAAGGGAAGCTAAATGTTGTAATTCATAACAGCCAAGTGTCTTTAAAAGAGTTGTCATAGACGGTGATGCTGTAGGCAGGAAGGTTCTCCAGTAGCAGTCAGTCTTGCAACAAATCTGAACATGCCTCTGACTGAAGACAGTTGTTTCTGCTTCTCCCTCTGCTCTGCATTCATGAAATCTCCTTTTCAACTCCTCTGGGATTTGGGGTTGTAGTTCAGATATTATGTGAACCTTTGAGACACTAATTAGCTGCTCAAGGTAGTAAAAATAATACTTTGCTGCTATGGTTACTAATCATAATAAATGTAAAAAGTAAGAGCAAAAGACCTACCAGCTGCAAAAGCAGAGATATTCATTGTAAAAGAAAAAAGGGAAAAAAAAGCAACCCCAATCAAAACAGCTAAAACAAAAGCTATAAAAAATGTGTTAATATATTTACTACCAGTCAGATTTATCCAGCAGAGCAAACAGGAAGAGCAGCATGACCAAGTCTCCTGTTTCTCTGTCTTGTTTCAGCCCATGGAGGCGGCCATGAATGATAAGACGATGGCCGAGGCGATGCATTTCGGTCACATGAAAGGTGTCGGCATGCGATCCCTGCACAGTGGCATGGGGCCTCCTCAGAGCCCGATGGACCAGCACAGCCAAGGTGAAGCTCTGGGCGGAAAATTCAAATAAATATTCAAAGTTGAGCTTTTTTTTGACGCCATCATCCAGTTTTCAGTGATAAAAGCTGTGAATTATCTAGAAGAAATGACAACTAATAATCCAAAACTGAGAAAGCAAAGCTTATTATTATTATTAAAAAATAAATATAAGTCTTTACACCTCTTGAAATTAAACAACCACAATTTTAATGGTGTTTTATGGGAGAAACCAACACAGTTCATGGAAGCTACATGATTAATGCTTTTATAAGAGTGACTAGCATTTGTGTTTTTCATCTTTTACTACTAGTACTTTTTTAAATCAATACTATGAGATTAGTAACTTAAAACCAGCTTCTGTTTCTTGCTGAAAAGTTAGTAGTAAGTTAGTTTTGTCTTATTCTGAGTGTAATGAGATATTTGCACCTGAAATTGGACAAAAATACTTGGTAAGATTTTGTGTTTTTTCAGTCAACAGAAATAAATACATTTGTATATCTAACAAAATATTTAAACATCTTGGCAGATGTCTGTTGATCTGTCACCAAACAGAAGTAAAATACAAATTTCATGCTGATGGTTGTGAATTTTCTGAAACATTAAACCTTTGGGGGGTCTGTGGGGTTAGGATACATGTCTCCACATCCATCTCCAATGGGAATCCATGAGCATGCCTCCAGCCCCATGTCCGGAGGTGGAGGCGGGCCGACCCCGCCCCACATGCCTCCATCCCAGCCCGGCCCCATGATGTCCATGGACCCTCAGGGAGGCATGGCCAGCATGTCGGGGATGGGCCAGCCGGGGCGCGGCCCCTCTTCCTTCAGCCCCGTCCAGCTGCAGCAGCTCAGGGCGCAGATCCTGGCCTATAAGATCCTGGCCCGCGGGCAGCCGCTGCCCGAGAACCTCCAGCTGGCTGTTCAGGGCAAAAGGAGCCTACCCACGATGCAACAGCAGCAGCAGGCGCCACTGCCGCCGCAGCAACAGCCACAACAACCACAGCAGCAGCAGCAGCCACCGCCGCCGCCGCAGCAGCAAGCATCTGGTGCTAGCCCGTACAGGCCCTCAGGTAGGAACCAAACGGGATAATATGACTGTTTTCTGGCCGATCCCTGATCACCAAACCTCATCTGCCGATTCTGATTTTGGCTGATACCAGTTTTTTGTCTGAAATGTTGCAAAATCTAACAAGAAAGTTGCTGAGTTGGGAACAGTGAAAGTGTTTACCTGCAAACATGCAGACCTGACCTGGTGGACCGGTCTGTCAGTCAGACCTCTCACTGCAGAGCAGAAGAGACGGCGCCTGATTTTTAGACCTTTGCCGAGGTGGACATGACTGGACATGTAAATATCAGCTGGTCACCCAAAATTAAGGAAATAGTCGCTGATAAATTGGCCGACCGATAAGCTGGTGCACACATGATCAAGTGCCAACATTACACATCAAAATGTTGGTTGGTGTTTCATTAATTATGGTTCAGAAGCAACTTTAACCAGATTTAAAGGAACTCAGTGTTTCAGCTGTTCTGCAGTTTTCTGGAAGTTTGTAAATGACACAAATACTCGCCAATGCATGCAATAATAAAAAACATAAGTAAATAAAGTAAGTTTTAATACATATGGCTACAACTGATAGCTTTTTGGGTATTTTTACATCTCCAGCATTTATTCTAAAGGTCAGAAAGCCTCTCCTGGTTGTTGCTGTTTTCTTCAGCCCACCTTGACATTTTCAGAAAACTTGTACAGTTGCATGTTGGATCTAACTGGTTATGTCTGACAGGAATGTCGATGGCTCCCATGAGCGGCCCCCAATCGAGCCCCTGCCCAACACCAGCACTGCAAGGACACAATCAGAGCACCGGACCCAAGCCTTGGACTGACGGTGAGTCCTCAGGCTGACGCCTGAGTCGGTTTCTGCTCCAGCCTCAGCAGCTTCTAACTTTTATAAGCAACATGTTTGTCAAATATTTGTTAAAACTGTCACTTTGTCTTGCCGGTATAATGTGAAACAGAAAAGCTCCTTCACCGGCACATCATGTACATGCTAAAGATTAGCGAAGGATAAGATCATTAAAAGTCTTATGTTTTTTTCCAGGTCAAGCTAGTGACAATCAAGCACAGAAGCACCTCACCCCGGTCCCCAGTGGCCGCCCGTCTCCCGCTCCCCCCCAGGCGCCTGTAGGGGCCCCGGGCCCCGTCCCGGGGAGTTCAGGGGCCGTTCACCCTCCAGGGCAGCAGGTGTCGCCCATGGTCCAAATGCAGCAGAAGCAGAACCGGATCACTCCGGTCCAGAAGCCCCAGGGGTTGGACCCGGTGGGAATCCTGCAGGAGAGAGAGTTCAGGTAGAGTTTGGACCAGAACCACAGGGTCACTGTTCTCACTTTTCTTAGGAACAAAAATATAAAATATCACATTTAATTTTTTTTTATAGTCTAAAGTGTGAAAACTGAAAATGAAGTTGGAGATCTGGAACAAGGCTTCTGTCTTTCCACTGATAGAGTTCTGGTTTTAAACTCAGAGGATGAGCAGCACTGAAATGCATTAAATTCATTAAAACTTATTCAAATGCATTTCTGTGAGGTGTAGCTGTTTATCAGAGGAATTACATTCTCTGGAGTTTAAACTGAAATAGTTGAAAATAAATCACAAAAAAATCTGTGTCCCTTCAACCTGATGGAGGTGAAGTGTCTGGTGGAGGTCCTGTTCGGTCTGAATTTGGATAAGCGCTTTATAAACAGTTAATTTACTATTCAGTCATGGTGAATTTAATGAACATGGGAGAAATTAATATAATTTTGGCATCTAAAGGTCAACAGATTAGGATTTGAACTAATCTGTAACAGACATGGCCAACAGAATCTGATTACAGGTCAGTTTGTGACGATGGTACATAAGTTACAGATGTTGCTGGTTTTGCAGACTGAATTTAGTTTTTTTATTCTCTGTAGTTTTGGTTATTCCCTAACAATTAATGTCTCCGTTCTGCCGTTGTTGCTTCTCATCGTTGACCAGCGATTCCAATAATCGTAAATTGAAAATGTGTCTCCTGTGATAATTCCCAGTGATTTCTGTTTTCTGAAATCGTTGTCATGTATTCTGTGGCGGTGTGATGGTCTGTGTCAGACTGCAGGCCCGGATCGCTCACCGGATCCAGGAACTGGAGAGTCTGCCCGGCTCTCTGCCTCCGGACCTCCGAACTAAAGCGACGGTGGAGCTCAAGGCGCTGCGGCTGCTCAACTTCCAGCGGCAGGTAGGAGAGCTGAACCTACATGACAAGTTTTTGGTCTCCGGTCCAGAACAGGAACTGTAATCCAGCAAATCTTTATTTTCTGAAAACAACAAAAATAATGAACAGCAACTTTTACAAGAAAATTAATCAGATTTTCTTCAGGACTGTCACTAAAGACTACTTTTTTTTTCTTTTTGGCGCAATCCAACTTTTTTTTCCATTTAAAACTGACACATTTTTCTTTAAGGTGAGTTTTTTGTAACAGTTTTTAATGCAAACATCTCTAGCATAAAGATTGTTCAGCCATGAATGCAACCGTTGCCCCGCTTTACTTAAACATCTCCTCTGTTTAAGGAGAAGTTTCATCAGTACGCGACGCTTACTGTTGAAACCAGATCTTCACTTTCACTGAATAAAATGTCACAAACATTTTTTCTCACTGTCTGAAGTTAAATCAGATTAATCTTCTCTGTTTTAGGTTAGTTGGAATTAATATATTTATTTCTATTTGACAAATACCAGAAAACATGGCAAAAAGATTTTTTAGATATTTTTTGTAACTTTCTTCATTATGGAATGCCTCTTTCCATTTCATTTCTTTTTAAAATTTTTATGCTATAGCTATGTTTTCATTCAAATGTACAAAATTTGAGCAAACTTTTCAAACGTCGTAAAAAAGAGAGAAAAAGAAAATGACACTTAGGCGTGTTTCCATTAGTCTGGCTATGCAAAGCTCAAACATTTATAGAAATATTGTTAGTATTATAAATAATTAACATAACTAGTGGTTGTTAAATGTTAACACCTCCATTGTTATGCATGGCTGTGATAAACAGGAAGTACAGGTTGCTAATTAGCATAAACCATAAATCTCAGAAAATGAAGAGTCTTCCCTCCATGATGGACGTTTGGACTTTCTAAGAACTCAGAGCCTCAAGATTTTGCGAAGTGAAGTCACTTATTTCAAATTTCAAGCCCTTTTGAATGTGACACTTCATAATGTGCATAAAAAAGCATTGATGGAAACTTTTTTTTATGCAACCGGATGTAATGTCCAGCTGAGGCAGGATGTGGTGGCATGTATGAGGCGCGACACAACCCTGGAGACGGCCCTCAACTCGAAGGCGTACAGGCGCAGCAAGCGGCAGACGCTCAGGGAGGCGCGCATGACGGAGAAGCTGGAGAAGCAGCAGAAACTGGAGCAGGAGAAGAAGCGGCGACAGAAACATCAGGTGAGCCGTCTGAGCTGAACGGTAAAAATCCTGAAGATTTTTAAAGCTTAATCGTTGTTGCTTGGTTTGCAGGAATATCTCAACAGTATTCTCCAGCATGCCAAGGACTTTAAGGAGTACCACCGCTCGGTGTCCGGGAAAATCCAGAAACTCACCCGAGCCGTCGCCACCTGGCACACAAACACCGAGCGGGAGCAGAAGAAGGAGACGGAGCGGCTGGAGAAGGAGAGGATGAAGAAGCTGCTGGTAAGTCTGTGGTCACATCATCTACAGAAGGACAAAGACAAATTATTTCCCTCGAGGTTTCGTTAAATGACGTCTTATTCAACGCGCTGTATTTCAGCCGGACCATTATTTGTGTTGCACAACGCTCTGACTTCCACCAGTGAGCTGCTGACAAATGCTAATTGCTGTTAGCAGCCGAAAAGAGAGCGCTCACTCTGGGAAATATTATTTCAAACTTTTATCACTTAAAATTACTTCCAATCTTAACTTTGCTCTCTTTAGACTTTGGAGTATAATTCTCCCCGCTTTTAGATTTGCTTAATATCTTCTGGCTCCGTTTTGTTGCTTGGTGGTCAAGAAGTGTAATAATGTATAAAAAATAATAAAACATAAATTACCTAAAAAATAATAATCTTTTTAGATAAAAAAAAAAAGTTGTATGAAAGGCAGTACCTCATTTTAATCTTTAGCTTTAATCTTGCTTTTTAATTTTAAAATGTAATATGAAATGTTTTATTTCTCACTGAGTGTTGTTCGTATTTTAAGCAATGAAATGGTTTCTTAAAAAAAGGAGCTGAATTATATATTTGTTGCAACCAAAGGGGGAAATTACTATTAATAATAAAAGGGTTTAGAACAGCCATAATTTGAATCCATTGACAAATTTTAGGATTTGTCTCCTAGACGTTTTTTAAATAGTTTTAGATGTTTGCAGGCAGAGATTAGGAAATTGTATCAGTCTTGAATTTGCGGCCTTTGAGAGGCTGAGTTAGGAGTCTGAAGGTGAACTAACTCCCCTCCTGTCACCGTCTGCCCAGGAAGAGGATGAGGAAGGCTATCGGAAACTCATTGACCAGAAGAAGGACAAGCGTCTGGCCTACCTGCTGCAGCAGACGGATGAATACGTGGCCAACCTCACCACTCTGGTGTACGAACACAAAGCTGCTCAGGCTGCCAAGGAGAAGAAGAGGAGGAAGACGAAAAAGAAGGTGGGAAGAAGTTTTGGGTTTGTTCTTTTCTCCTGGAAAGGCGCTCGATTCCAAAACCAAGAATATATATTAGAAAATATTTCTGTAACTCTGTTGGCCTCCATTTGCAGTAATCAGACAGAAAATGGTCAAAGAAAGAAGAAGGTGGAAACATGAAGCAAAAGGCACCACAACTATTTATTGTTGATTAATTTGTTGGTCTTAACCGTGATGTTGTCAATGTAAAACATAAATTAAATATGTATCATTAATCTTGTTTGTTTTGAGCAGTGGTGGGCACATTTCCACTAATAGCTGAGCTCCTTTATCAGTTAGCATTTTGCTAACTTTTAAAACATTTAGCACAGTTAGCTTCCCCTACATTTATTCTTCTGCTTAAATTTGAAACCGCAGTTTATTTTTTTTATTTTCTCTGACCTTAGTTTGACATCCATGTTGAAGTTTTGGCTATCAGCTGTTAAAACTTCTTCAAGCAGCTAAACGTTTACATTCATCTCTTATTTTGAAGTGGGCGAAGATCGTTTACTCAGCAGTTTTTCTTTTTCATTTCCAGAAGGTGGAAGGAGACGGTGAAGGTACCAGCGCCATTGGACCGGACGGCGAGGTTAGTCACATGACCAATCAGCAGTACATGACCAATGCTGGTCATGTACTGCTGGAGGTGAATATGCAGCTCTGCTCTGCACTTCAGAGCAGAGAGAAAACATTTTAGTGACTGTTGACTCTTTATTTTCCTCTCATCAGTAATAAATCTTTAAAAGATCCTTTAGTTTTTTCAATATGAGTGAACCTGGTGAGTTTAGTTGTGAATTTAGCAGCTAAACATGGTGTCATTTAGAGCTGAGACCAAAACAAACTCAGAAAAACTGGGAATATTGCACCGATTGGATTAAGATACTTTAATCCAAGGAAGAAATAGATTTTCTACTTACGGCTGAAGTCTAAAGTTTCAGTTTCCTGTTTCCTTGGTCTTAATCTGTTTGCCTTTTTATCATGTGCATCTTTAGAAACAAAAACCTGTCAGAGTTTGTGAAACTGCGTAGCGTTTGCTTGCTTGTTCTGCTAAAAGCTCTGGTTGTGTTGCAGCCCATGGATGAGAGCAGCCAGATGAGCGAGCTGCCAGTCAAAGTGATCCAGACGGAGACCGGGAAGGTCCTGCAGGGCACCGACGCCCCCAAGTCCAGCCAGCTGGAGGCTTGGCTGGAGATGAACCCTGGGTGAGAAGCCGTACTGTTACGCTGAGCCGGTATCGGCTGCAGAAACCTTGACGACATTTCACTGAGCTTCATCTGCTCTGAGCAGAACGGGCAGATTTATATGGAAATGAATGGAAATAGCAGGATCACTGTCGACCCTACTACTGCTGAATTATTTCAGTGGCTTCAGTTTGTAAAAATGCTGTCTGGAAAAGACTAGAGTTTGATTCTGAAAAATGTTTAAACATGCATTTGAGATGGAAAGTTTAGTTCTTTCCTGACTCCCTTTAATCTTGTCCAGAGCAGTCTGACTTTTAGCAGACTGTGTCTTTGGCTGTGACAGACAGAAAGGATAAACCGGAGCTTTGCTGCGTTACGTTCAGCCTCCCTGGGATCTGCTGGAGTCTAACTCAGTTTAAAAGCATCAGCCTGCAGACGCATTTCTGTAGAAAGTTTCCTTTTAAACAACTTCTTTGACCTCTTTATGCTCCGTCTGTCGTCACTTGGAACGCACCACTGATCCTGAAAACGGCTAAATTTGATGCGGCTTCTCACAGTAATAGCATCCACACCGAAGAGTGTTGTCTTTTAAGTGTGGTGCGTTCACTGAATACGCGCTCGTCAAGCTGAAAATCTGCCAGTACCGGGCCTCTAGCAGAATTAATTTATCAGACAAATTAAATTAAATACATCCTTTAGCCCTTAGCTTTACTTCATTACATCTGAATTTCTGTACAACTCATCGACCACATTCGTTGTCAGAGAACCAACTCATAAACACACTCACTCAAAACTGAAAAGAAATCATTACATATTTTTAGGGAGAAGATTTGAACCCGTCTTCAGTTAGAGATGCAGATGATATTCAGTTGTACACATAATTTTAACCAAATGAAAAGGTCTAAACTCCACAGTTTGTTAGTTCTGAGGCGCCGATTAATGGTGGATTTTCTTCAATTAAATGAAGATAAAACTGGAATATTTATCTTTGCACCACAAAAATGCATGTATAAGATAAAGGAGACGTTTGGACCTCTGTTCTTTGGTTCCTCTCTTGGGAACCATCTGGTTTTACTTTGGATGCAAAGTCTCTGTTTCATTCTTGTTTTTAATCATTAAGCTAATCTGCATTGTCTCACGTCCTGAACTGGGAACAATTATGCATCCTTTTGTTTCAAAACAATTGGAATAATGTAATGAATTATGCACAAGCCTTATCAAAACCTCCTGAGAGCAGTTTCAAAGTAATCAGATTACTGCTGCCAGGTTTCTAGTTAGTTTAAGAGTCTGTTACTGACTTGGAGAGACACAGGCGGTTCAGAACGTTTCTGCAGCCAGATGTACACAGCAGATCCCTGAGGTTCTGCTGAGGTTCTGCTGAGGTTCCGCTGAGGTTCCGCTGAGGTTCCGCTGAGGTTCCGCTGACGTTCCGCTGACGTTTCTCCTGAGGTTCCGCTGAGGTTCCGCTGAGTTTCTGCTTGTGTTCTGCTGACGTTCTGCTGACGTTCTGCTGACGTTCTGCTTGTGTTCTGCTGAGGTTCTGCTGACGTTCTGCTGGCGTTCTGCTGAGGTTCTGCTGGCGTTCTGCTGAGGTTCTGCTGAGGTTCTGCTGACCTTCTGCTGAGGTTCTGCTGAGGTTCTGCTGACCTTCTGCTGAGGTTCTG